CCTGTGGTCCCTCCCCAGATGGCCAACCTCCCGCATCCCTCCTTGGCCCAGACCGTGCACTGGTGGGATCCCTCAGCCTGGCCTGCACCTCTCACAATCCGGACCCTCGGGGGATGTCAGAGAGCCAGTTTCAGCCCAATCCTGCAGGCCAGGCCAAGGGACCCCACTGGTGCATGAATTCATGCACCGAGCCTCTAGTGAGTAATGAAGCTGAGTTCCTTTCAAGTGCTTGTTTGTTATTTGGATATCTTCTTTTGTGAGGGGCCTATTCAACATTTCTACTCATTTAAAAAAATTAGTTTTGTGTATTTTACTTACTGATTTGTATTTCTTTATATATTATGGATATGAATTTTTGCTCAATACATGTATTTTGAATATTTCCCCCTAGATTATGGCTTGTTCTTTAGCTCATCTTTTCACTTAATGGTATCTTTGATGAACAGAAGTTCTTAATTTGAATGAATTCCAATTTATTAATTTTTCTCCCCATTATTTTTCTTTTGGGATCCTGTTTACAAAAATTTAAGAAATCTTTGTCTAACCTGATGGCCTTGCATTCTGAGAGGAAGGGGCCAGGTCATTCTTAAAGTTTCAACAAACACCAGAGCATGAGTGCCTTTTCCAGCCTTTCAAGTTACGCCCTGGGCTCTATTTTACATGGAAGAGTATGAGCAACCTCGAATGCAATGTGGCAGAGAGTGTCTGGCTTGTTCAGAAGGCAAGGAGTTACACTTAAGTTGGTCTCTACAGAAGTAGGATTGACACAGGTCCTGCAGGACAGACATTTAGTTAACCTGAGGCCTCCAAAGTCAGGCCAGCTCCTAAGAGCAACTTCTTTCTGATAGTAGGAACTGACGCTCATTGCCCATTTCAGATGTGTCATTCATACATGTAAAAGCATCATCTCATGAGTTGTCTTTACAGGAATTCTTGGCTTGCCCTAGTTTTATTATTGAGTGGGAAAGAACCATTCTCTTTATTATTCTTGTCAAAGCAAGACACTGTTACCTGTCACAGAACTAATAGTCCCTAACAAAAACTGACAGGAACTAAAGATATGAGAAGGGAGAGAGGTAGTAAGTGAGCAGACAGCTAAAACAGGCAATGAAAAGGGTGAGACAAGTAGAGTAACAGGGGCAAACATCACTTTTCCTGAACACTCTAGTGCAGCGGTTCTCAACCTGTGGGTCGTGACCCCTTTGGGGGTCAAATGACCCTTTCACAGGGGTTGCCTAAGACCATCAGGAAAACACATATATAATTACATATTGTTTTTGTGATTCATCACTATGCTTTACTTATGTTCAATTTGTAACAATGAAAATACATCCTGCATATCAGATATTTACACTACGATTCATAACAGTAGCAAAATTACAGTTATGAAGTAGCAAAGAAAATAATTTTATGGTTGGGGGGTCACCACAACATGAGGAACTGTATTAAAGGGTCGCAGGATTAGGAAGGTAGAGAACCACTGCTCTAGATATTAGAAGATCCCAGTTCTGAAAACTGTTCAGAGACCACTGCAACAGTCCAAGCAAGATATAACTGGGATGTGGGCAGTGACAGCAGAAAGAATTCAAATGAAACAAGTGAAACCTTTCCAAACATGCAATGTATACTTGTACATGTGAAGTTTTCTCTTATCTAGTCACTTACACTCAAAGTCTCCCCCCACCCTCCTCCTTGGCCTACTCATTACCACTAAAACTGCTAAAGCAGACTTTTGCCAGGCAAGTAATGTAAATGAGAAAAGCACACTTGGATTCAGACATCAAGAAGTGGTGAGATCTGTAACACATCCTAAAGGTTTAAAGAGGAATTCATGACTTAGCTTCAGCAGACTGCTGTCATGTGAGAATAAAGATCCAATGGTAACAGATGTTTTAACTTTTTAAAGAGATGTTAGAAATTGTGATTTTTCTGTGTAACTTTCTAAACATTATTACATCGTGTTGGACAAACAAAATATCTCTGTGGGTTGACTCTGGCCTATAGGGCAATTAGTTTACAATCTCTGTTCTAAAGCTTTGCAGCAAGATAAATAGCATGTGCAGGTTTCCAGGCTTAGAAGAGCAAGAAACTGGGAAAGCCAACATGCAGACAAGGACTGGGGCAGGAGACAGTAAAAAGAAATTTAACTTTTAGAGGTAGAAAGTCTAAAGGACTTAGAGTTGGACCAACTTCAAAGTTGAACAGGTCTGTATTAAAAAACCTAAGAGGAATTCTTACGAAGTTCTATTGCAAGGAGATCCAGATGAAGAAAAACTAGAATGTACAGGGACTCTAACTGATTAAAAAAAGGGTGGGAATATGATACACACACATATGTTATTTTACCTCTCTGTGTATTGATTTTCTTAACATTAAAATAGGAATAAATATATATTGTGACATATTTATGCATTTCAGTTCTCTATTATATGGTTTGAAACTTTGCTATTTTTTCATATCACTTCATATTTTTTAAACAATTTTTAGTGATTTCTTCCTCAATACTTCAATTGTTCTTTCGTTCTTTTATTTTTATCTTTCATGGATGCCATGTTCTTTGGAAGCTTGTTTAGATTAAGTTAATGGCCTTTTAGGCTTCCTCCATGTGAACAGCTCACTTTTTGAATAAGAATTATATGTCACAGGGGCGGGCACCAGGATTTTAGAGATGCTTAGGTGGGGCATGGCCAAAAAAAGATTGGAAACCACTGCCCTAAACTATGAAGCTCTCCAGCCTTGCTAAGCTAGATCTGTACAATGAGGAAGTCAGATCAAATGATAACTAAACTCCCTTCTAGAGCTGACATTTTCATTCTACCAGGAAACCCTCTAATCAGCTTATTTCAGGGCAGTAGTAACAAAAACATTACCCTGCTCACACTTCTATGGTTTACCAAGCTAAAGTAGGGAAGTACAGCTTAGGCTTGGGGTAGGTCAGAGAAACCATTCCAGTATGGAATAATCCGTAGGTTAAGCCAGAGGGGGAAATAGTGTTCGGTGTGAGGCCTCCTTATTGATCCTTGGTGATTACATTTGTTTCCAGGAAGCCTTCCAAACAGGCACAGAATTTATTCACATGCCCAACCTTTTACAAGCTAGAAATCACTTATTAGCCTGCTAAGGAACCACAATAAGCTCTAAATCTAGAATATTTAGAACACCAGTGACTCTTATCCTCTTGGGGGGGTCAAGGGTCTCTATGAGAACCTAGTAAATTCTCTTTCCCCATCCTTAGGGGGGAAAATGTCATGTGTGCCCATTCAGATACACAAGCACACACATTTTACCTGCAATTATAAGGGGTTCACAAATTCCCCAAAATCTTGCCCTAGACATTTTTTTTCTCTTTACACTCTTCACCTGAGGATATGCTTAGCGAAAGGGAGAGAGGGAGGGAGAGAAGGAGGGAGGGAGGGAGGGAGGGATAGAGAGATAGAGAAGAAAAACTGGTTTCCTCCTATATATGCCAGGACCGAGGATCAAACCTACAACCTAGGCATGTGCCCTGACGAGGAACCAAACCTGCAACCCTTGGGTATACAGGATGACGCTCCAACCAACAGAGCCACCAGGCCAGGGCAAAAATCTGTCCCTAGACTTTAAGAATCCCTGAAACAGAACTATCCGGATCCAGCTTAACCTCCCAGGGGATTCTGAATTGCCCCAAGATCTGGGTTGGACTTTTGAGGTAGCTGTGTTTAGGAGACAAAACATGTATTGCAACTCAACATAATGAATCCTGCATGGAAAAGACACAAGGCCTTTCTTCTTCCCCCTACACCAACATGTACTGAGAGAATTCAAACGGAAAAGATCTGTAATTTAATCCCAAAATACCAGTGGATGAAGAACAGGGCCGCAAGAGTATGTCATGCCCCTTCTCTGCTTCATATCTATAAATTCACACAGAATCTCAGAAGCGTTTAAAGAAACAGGTAAAAACATCCCAGTCCTCACAGCACTGTGCTCCTCTGTTCATAAGAAAGGACGCTGTCAAGATTGCCAATTAGCCTTATTAGATGACTTTTCTCCCATATGGGCTTTGAAAACTACAGATACCAAAGAAACCATATAACCTCACCCATTACTGAAGAAACAATCAAAACAAGATAATATTCCCCCCTCCCCCCGCCCCATAGATTAGCAACAGTTTAAGTATTGGTGAGAGTCTAGAGAAACATGTGGTCTTATGCACAATTGGTGCCCTTATAAACCAGTACAGTCTTTGGTGGTGGTGGGACAACTTGACAATTTCATGAACAATGTGGAAACACACACCCTTTGATAAAGCTACTCCCTACAGATATTTCTGCCAAAGTAGGCCAAGTAGATGTGCAAGCAGGTGCAATGCAGCATTGTCTATAACAAAAGCCCTGATTGTTGGTTCTATCATATAAATGGAATATCATGTAGCCTTTAAAAGAATGTACTAATGTAGCCTTTAAAAGAATGTACTAGGTCTGTAAGTGCTAATATAAGTAAAGCTTCAATATATATTATTAATTGGGGGGGGGGGGGTTGAGAACAATGGGCATTATTACATGATTCCTTTAGTCTACATTTTTTAAAGGACACACATACATGCCAGTATATGAAGTAAATTATGTTCCAGAAAGATACATAAGAAACGATTCACTGTGGTTACCTTCAGAGAGAGTGACTTCAAACATTGGAAACATATAAGTAAAAGAGATAAAAAAGCAAAAGCTCTCAGCCATCTGGGGAAAACTGGGCTGAAGACAGAAGGCAGGACTGAAGGGAGGTTCTCACTACTACATCATTTATTTGCCTGGAATTGACCTTTCCAGAATCCAGACTCCTCCTCAGCAAGAGGTGTGATTTCTCACGCTGCCGGTCCCTTGGGAACATGGCTCCCCTGACTGCAGAGATGTTAGTTCACGTTAGGAGATGTCCAACTGAGATCAACTGCCAAATAAGTTCTCACAACCTTTGCTGGCTGATCACATTACCTGAGAGTTGAAGTGGAGAAAGAGGCTCACCTCTGAGGTTTTCGAATATCCCAGAGTCCCACTCCTTCCTTTGAATTGGCTGTGGCCAACAACCTGGGCTCCACAGGGTTAAACATGACACTGTGAAAGGCTGATGGATAGTTTGCCAGGCAAAAAGGCTCTGTGAAGAAAGAAACTACTATCAGTCCATTTCAGGCACCTTTGGGCCCAGGGCAAGAAGACAAGCGGGAACGTTAATGCGAGTAAGAGCACACCCTTTAATAACCACATCAATGGGCTAGAACCCCAACTTGGTCACCCTTACTCACAAGGTTCCCACAAGTCCTAGCACACATTTTCTGCCCATAGAAAAAAGCAACTTAAATACATATAAACAAACTTTAAGCTATAATATTAAAAAATACATATAGTCCCTATGCAGATTCTGTGATACAACAGAAGTAGTCACTGTAAATAGTAAGCTGTTTTACAGTAAGTAAAACTGAATTCCACATGAGCTGAAAAAATTCACGACCAATTAACTGCTAAGATTATTATACCTTAATCCAAATTTATGAGTTTTAAAAATTAAAAGTTTTGCCCTGGCTGGAGTGGCTGTTGGTTGAGCATCGTCCCATGCATTACAAGATCACTGGTACGATTCCTAGTCAGGGCACAGGCCCAGGTTGCAGGTTCAGTCCCCAGTCCCTAGGGTACATGTGGGAGGCAACTGATCAGTGTTTCTCTCTCTCTCCCCCCCCCTTTCCCTCTCTCTAAAAATCAAGAAGAACATATTTTTTAAAAAGGTTTAAAGCTATAAAAAAATTTAGTGAAGGCAATGTAAAACAACGAGAAAAATGAAGACAAATAAAGACAATACTACAGTTTTCCCTCCTGATCAACTTCACCTAGAAATCATGCAGACCTCTGCATACTTCTCTGCTGGCTCCAGGTGAGAAGGAATTACTTGCTACCTGGGAAGACACACTCCTGTGGAAGTTGTTTAGAAGCAACAGAAAGCATTCTGTCTGTAATTTCCGTATGTGACACTTCATGGCGGGGGAGGGTCAGTCATCTCAGCCAGCAGGTGGTTCAGACAAAGGAAAATTTCACCTCCCAAGCTGCTGCTTGCAGCTACCTTACCTGCCTGACCCTAAGAACAAGCTTCAATAATGGGCATTTAACATTCCCAGCTTGTTAAATGCTCAGAATATAGAATAATAAAAATACCCAGATCCTGCCAGACATGCAGGAAAATAACTCTATGTACACAGGTGTAATCATGACAAAGCGGCACCAAGAGTGGGGTAGGGATGGCACTGGAGGAAAGAGCCTTTGAAGACAGGCACAGGACAGAGAGAAATCTCTCTGCAGGAAATGAGCTGAAAAGATGCATCCCCGAAAAACTTTAGAGGACTTCAACATTCATGTCTTCACTGTACACTCCAGAGACTCAAAGAAAACAGGAAAAGGAACTCACCCAGATAATCCCCTGTGAACAGTGTATGTGACATCATTTTAAGTTCTTATACACAGTGAAGGCGAGGTTCTCTAGTTCTTTCAGCAAAATAACAAGCCCCTGAAATTAGGATTCAACAAAGTGCCTAACACCTCCTTCTCCGTAAATAACAAAGAATGTGTGCATGCCAGAGCCACACATAGAGCTGGCCTGTGCTTGCTAAGCTCCACAACGAAGTACCACATCTTCTGTTCCTTGGGGCGACTAAACACCAAGATACTGCAGTGTTTACTATGGGTACAAGGGTTTGTGGTTGGAAAGGACTGGCAAGGGGCTTCACTTCTGACTACTCAGGGGTAAGGTGGGACCTCAGAAACACGTATCTATTCCCCTAAGTGAGAGTTTCCTCCCCCTTTAAATCACTCCCACCCAGGTTACTCAGGTCATAAACTGGATCTGCAATGAACTTGATATCAAACCCTTCAACACAATCCAACAGCACTTTGCAAGTAACCTACCTCCATGGGGAGACTCCCGGATGTCCCAGATGAGAACCCGGCCATCATCTGAGGAGCTGGCAAAAATGTTGTCATTCACTGGGCTTACTGACAAGCCATATACTGCATCTTCGTGAGCAAACACGTCCAAGGTCTCGCTGCTGAGAGAGAACAGAGAGAGGCACATAGGCATACACATACACATACACACCAACAGCCAGACTCCCAGCCCTCTACTCTAGTTCCGAGGGTAGGATTCCCTTTCATTTCCAGGAGAAAGTCAATTTAACTAAAGCCAAAGAGTATTATATTTCCTTTAAAAGTAGGTATTCAAGCCCTAGCAGGTTTGGCTCCGTGGATAGAGCATCGGCCTGTGGAATGAAGGGTCTCAGGATCAATTCCAGTCAAGGGTTCCCATAGGTTGCAAACTCAATCCCTAACCTCGGTTGGGGCACCTGTGGGAGGCCACCAATCGATGTCTCTTTCACACCAATGTTTCTCTCTCTCTCTCTCTGTCTCTCCCTCTCCCTTCCATTCTCTCTATAAATCAATGGAAAAATGTCCTCAGGTGAGGATTAACAATAATAATAATAATAAAAAAAGTAGGTATTCAACTTTCTGGTGAAAAAAATAAAAGTACATTAAAGAGACTTTTTATAGATTTCATAGTAAGTTGCTGTTGGTGCTAAATGAGCATATTTAAAAGTGACTCAACAGATGAGTTTCGTGTTTTCACTTACTACAGAATGCATCTGCTTGTGTATAGATTTGGGGGTGCTGCTTGATTTCCAAAAAGCAAAGGAAAGCTTTAAAGCAGTCAGGTCTGATGCCAGCTGGGTAAAAGAGGGATATACTGGCCGTCTGGCACAGTGGATAAGAGCTCTTCGCCAGGTTGCCTAAGTTCAGATCCTAGGCACTACATGACCATATATTTCCTCATTTGTAATTTGAAGACCATAATAGTATAGCCTCATAGAGTTACTGTAAGGATTAAATTTATTAGTTTTTAAAAAAAATATTTTTTTTATTGATTTCAGGGAGGAAAGGAGAAAGAGAGAGAGAGACATCAATGATGAGAGAGAATCATTGATCAGCTCCTCCTGCTTGCCACCTACTGGGGATCAAGCCCACAACCCAGGCATGTGCCCTTGACCAGAATCAAACCTGGGACCCTTCAGTCCACAGACGGACGCTCTATCCACTAAGTCAAACCAGCTAAGGCAGGATTAAATTTATTAATACATACAAAACACTCATAAATATTAGCTATTATTATTATTACTATAAATTATTGTTTCCTTCCCTTCCAACTATCCTTTTAAGTTTTCTTCTGAAAGCTGTATTTCATACCAACTTTGCAAATCTTTTTCTCTTTTTAATCAATCATTTATTTCAAAACTATTACAAGAATCTTCTTCAAAAAAAGGACAGCTGATTTCATGTTTGATTGTTTTTTCTCAAAAAAACAAAAACTACTGTGGTGTAAAGAAATATTTGCCTCTCTCCATATGAAAAACAGAATCAATCACCTTCTCATATCAACAATTTATTTACCTTTCAACATCATGGAGGATAACTTGTTCATCATTTCCTGTAAGGGGAAAAAAGCAGACATTTGATCATTCCCATAAAGTGATCCCTATCCCTATTACAATTTAGTATTTTAAGATTTTCAGTGAAAATTAAACGTGAACAAAGTTAATGTTAGTACAAATTAGAAGTGTTAATTAGAAAAATACTTATAAAAATAATTTAAAAAAAGAACATTCTTTAGAGACTTTCAAAACTCGTAATAGCAACTAACTAAGTTTCCAAAATGTTTTATCCAGTGGACAATGTAAAAAAAAAAAAAAAGCTGTGGCTATTAAGGAAAAAAGTAAATGATCAAGGGCAAATCAATTCAAGCGAGCTTTTTAAAGTTTATTTTTTTAAGCAAACACTCATTAACTGTGAGACCTTGAATAGTATTTGTGACTTTTCGATGCCCCTGTTTTTTATCTGCAAAATGTATAATAATTGTACCTACTTCATAGGTTTATTGTGAGGATAAGAGCACATTTGTAAAAGTATTCAGAATCTCCAATAGATGTTTGCTACTATTCACATCCTCATCTATAGCATTAAAATTTGATGACTATATGATTCTAAATAATGAAAAAGTTTTTATCCACAACTTTTGTCTCTTACATTTTTTATACCATCAAGAAATCTAAAAACACTACATTCATGATTATGTGTAATGCTACCTTCAAAAAGATTATATAGCAAAAAATTAATAACCTAAATATGAAAAGACAGAAAGTAAAAAACTTCCCATTTTGTGCTAAAAGCACAACCAAAAGTAAAATTAGCAGTGACCCTTACCATCTTAAATCCCTGGCTATAAACTCTCTTGTGGGTGCATTTCAAGTGAATCAAACCCATACTAATTAATGCCTTTTAGGTCACAGGCACAGCCAAGGTGCTGGGGATATAAGAATTCTGCCCAGCCTTTGAGGAACTCACAGTCCAACTGCACAAATAATTAACAGTGTACAAGACAGGATATCTTGTATCAATATGCTTCAAATGGCGACACCAATAAAGAAAGCAATTATTTCCTTCATGAGCAGGGTGAAAGTACATGGCAGAAGGGAATGTTTTTATGGGGAAGGAGACATTTGAACAGAAACTCAAATTATTCAAAACTCTTACTAATGGGAGACTTAGGGAAACTAGTGGGAACTGGACAAATAATCATGACCCATGGAGGAATAGCATGAGCAAAAGGCACAAGGGCACCTAAGATAGCAAATGGTTTAGTGCAGTGGTCGGCAAACTCATTAGTCAACAGAGCCAAATATCAACAGTACAACGATTGAAATTTCTTTGGAGAGCCAAATTTTTTAAACTTAAACTATATAGGTAAGTACATTTTTATTAACTTAATTAGGGTACTCCTAAGCTGGCCTTTGCTAAAAACGTCTTCAATCTGATTGAGGTACGTTCGCTGAGGTCGACCCCTTCCAACTCTCCAATCCACACTCGTCTTGTATACTTGTTTTGTCTATCTCCTTTCCGAAAACCAACTTCTGTGCATGGGCCACGAAGTTTCAATTGCACTGTACGTGCGGGCCCGCAAGTGGTATTTTGTGGAAGAGCCACACTCAAGGGGCCAAAGAGCCGCATGTGGCTCGCAAGCTGTGGTTTGCCAACCACTGGTTTAGTGGACTAGAGTACAAGATGCAAGGGGGAGATTAGGCCAGAGAGGGAAACTAGGGTTTAGACATTATGCTATGAACACTATAGAGTCAAAGAGATTCACATAGTTAAACCTTTATTGTTAAACTCATAGACATAGGTAGCAGTATGGTGACTACCAAAGGGAAAGAAGGGTGGGGGCATAGAAGGTATAGGAGGGGATAAATGGTGATGAAGAAGACTTGACTTGGGGTAGTGAACACCAATACAATATACAGGTGATGTATATTGTACACCTGAAACCTATATAATTTTATTAACCAATGTCACCCCAATAAATTCAATTAAAAAACCCCTTTATTTTTGAAAGAAAATTTGTATCAGCAATGAAATAGAAGAAGGGTTAAAGACGGAAAGCAGAAATGACAGGACATTGCAATAGTCCAGGCCAAAGATGAGGACCTGAATCAGGGCAGTGGGTATAGGAAGAGAACAGAAACTAAAGAATTGAGAGGCTTTCAAGTCTAGCCATTGACTAACTGAATGTGTAAATGAAAGAAAGGCATGTTTGAGAATGACTTCAAGGTTTCTATTAAACTGAACTATGTGAAATTATCATTTCTGTAAGTTGAAAACACTTCAATGTCAAGTTTTTTTTTTCCTTTTTAAAAATATATTTTTATTGATTTCAGAAAAGAAGGGAGAGGGAGGGAGAGAAACATCAATGATGAGAGAGAATCATCAATGGGCTGCCTCCTGGATACCCCTTATTGGGGACTGAGCAACCTGAGCATGTGCCCTGACCGGGAATCGAACCATGACCTCCTGATTCATAGGTCAACACTCAACCACTGAACCAAACGGGCCAGGCAGCAGTTGCTTAAAGTTAAACCTAACAGCATAAATAATTGGGTGAATGGGGATAATAACTGAGAAAGGAAATCCAGGGAATCAGAGGAATACTTGTGCAGGAGAGGATAATAATCTTGGTTTTAGATTTGCGTTTAAATTGCTTCTGGAACACATAGGGAAGTCTGCAGTGCAGGAGAGAGGTCAGGGCTAGAAATGTGCTGGTCAGAAAGGAGTATGGTTGATGGAAACTAGGGAAGTCTGCAGTGCAGGAGAGAGGTCAGGGCTAGAAATGTGCTGGTCAGAAAGGAGTATGGTTGATGGAAACTAGGGAAGTCTGCAGTGCAGGAGAGAGGTCAGGGCTAGAAATGTGCTGGTCAGAAAGGAGTATGGTTGATGGAAACCTTCACCCAGAGGCTGGCTTGTGCTCCAGTGGTACCCTAGCACAATGTTTTTCATGGGTCAGATGATTGACTTGAGCTACAAACTTTAAAATCTTTAAAAGTGAAATAGAAAAGAATTTAAAAAAAAAACTAGAGTGCACCACACATAGTAAGATTACGTACTGTTTCAAATATGTGTGTGTGTTTCTGTGTAGCAGATTGCAATGTAAAAAGTTTTCTACCAAAAAAGAGAGAAATGATGAGAGCAAAAGAACAGAAGGAAAGGAGAGAAGGCGGAAGGGAGGGAGGAAGGAAGGAAGAAAGGAAGGGAGGGAGGGGAGGAGGGAGAGAAGGAGGGAGGGAGGGAGGAGAGAAAAGAAGGAAGGTAGGGAGGGATGAATGGATTACTCTAGTACACATGTCTAAATTACTGTAATGCAGAGAAGACAAGCTATGGAAAACTAGGAATTCCACAGAACAATAAAGGAAAATAGGAGTAATTTTAGCATTCCTTTATGTAAATTATGGGCCCCAGTGAAACTTCCCAATGTGGAAAGCTCCTTTCTTCTCACCTCCAGAGAATACTTTGGTGTTCCCACTGTTGAAAGCCAGGCAGAAAATGTTAGAATGATGCTCTCCTTTAAGCTGTATGGGCTTGACTCTGGAGTGGATAGCTTGTTCCATGTGCCATAGCAGAACCCGGCGATCATCTCCTCCTTAATAGGGGAGTAAGAATTCAGAGTTAAAACAGCCGCTATTTCAAGGCTGACACTTGGTTTTGCCAGCCTTGAATCCCATTCTTTCCAAAACTGCATCTCCTCAACCCCGAGAGATCCTGATGGGGCACATAAACCCAGGACTCTACCCCCTTAATCAACAGACATCGCCCCTAAGCCACTCACTTTTCCCCGGGAATTAAATCTTGAACAGACATACGGAAATGGAAAGATATAAGTACAGATACTGAAACCCTCAAATTCACCCTGTTCCTGACTTTCCAGAGAACATAAATATTTCTTCATTTACTACCTAAAATCCTTCCACTAATATCTTTTTTTGAGGGGGAGGTGGAGGGAGTCTAACAGAACCTTAGTTGGTTTCTAGTGCTTGCAACAAAATATTTGTAGCACCCTAGTTTTCAAAGCACTCTCTTTGATGTGATCTCATTGACTGTGGACACCATACGAATGACAACTAAGGAACTGCCTGTCACAGTAGCAGAACCTAGACAGAACCCAGGTCTCATGAAGCTCAGTCCAGCTCTTTCCTCTGCATAACTAATTCTCAATAGTCTGAATTAGATGAGCAATATTACACTGTGTGAGCCAGCTCCTAGAGAATAAGAATATATATACTGAGTGGCCAGATTATTATGACCACCTGGCGTTTGTAGGCAAATTAGCTATAATTTCGCACTGAGGTTGCTAGAGAGCCAGACCATTACAAATAGGAAAGCAGGTTGTTTACTAAGACAGTAGAAGGGATTTTTTTCTCAAGATATGGGTAAACAACGCAATTTAACAGCCTTTGAACGTGGGATATATATATGTAGTATAGTCTATATATTCTTTATATTTGCAGACACATTAAAAATGTCTGGAAGGATGAACTACAGATTGTTAACAATGGTGTTAACAGAGGTTACCACTTCAGAGAATAAGATAAAAAAGAGGTAGCGGACAGATTAGAGGGTTTTTACTTTTACTTTCTATATTTGGCACTGACTTTTTATTACAAGCCTATATTATATTCCTAATAAAACTTTAGGTTACAATAGGAGCAAACACAGGCAGCAAACCATAGGAAGCTCTATACCTCTGCCTCCCCTCCTCCATTCAATACAAGAGACACAAATTATAGCACATCCACTCCACGCGAGGGCGTACCACACAGCTAGTAAATCACTAGATCTTTTCCTTTTGTAAGGTGAATTTTTTTTTTAACCCTCACCTGAGGAAATGTTTTCATTGATTTTAGAGAGGAAGAGAGGGAGAGATGGAGGGAGAAGAGGGAGGGAGGGAGTGGGAGAAGGAGAGGGAGAGAGAGAGAAACACTGACCAGTTGCCTCCCATGCAAGGAGCTTGCTTGCCCTATGCTCTCATATTGGGGATCGAGCTGCAACCCAGGCATATGCCCTGAAAGGGACTTGAACGCACAACCCCTTGATCCACGAGATAATGCCCAGCCAGAGCCACACTGGCCAGGGCTAAAAGTGAATTTAAATTTTTAAAAATTTATTTACTTCAGAGAACAGAGAGATCAGGGTGAATGGCAGGGGAAGGCTGCACTTAGAAGCCGCTGACCTTGGTTAAGATGTGGGAATTCATTCCAGATGAAAATTCCTTCCTAATTCACTGTCTTCTGTTCTAGTCTACTGCATTTTAAAATAATGTGCAGCGCCTTCCCATTTACTATTTTATTTAATTTCCTGAACAATTTTTGTTAGTGAATTGAGAAGTTGGTCACATCTTTTTTCCCTTTTGACCAAAAACGGAAACCTACAGAGGATAAAGTGACTTTGCTAAGACAAATATCTGTTCAACTCCCTACTTTTGGTTCTTTTGGGTATATAATACTGAGAAACTTTTATGTTTTAATTTATACTTTCCTGTACTACTTGACTTTTTGCCATGAACATATTTCCTTTAATAGTAATTAAAATACACACTAGAAGACACATTGGTCAAATCATATTCATTCTTCCTCCCCTAAAAAAAAACTTCAGTTCCTTTGTTTCTTGAGTTCCTTCTTTCTTCCATTGTTGGTCAAAATCAAGTTCTGTCTCCTCCTTGAAAGTATTTCATTGTCTACCACAGTGGTTCCCAAACTTATTTGGCCTACCGCCCCCTTTCCAGAAAAAATATTACTCAGCGCCCCCTGGAAGTTAATTTTTTTGTAATTTGAATAGCAATTAAACAGAAAGATATATGCCCCCAAATGCACCTGTGGCCATCACCGCGCCCCTGGATCGCCGCAGCGCCCACCAGGGGGCGGTAGCGCCCACTTTGGGAATCACTAGTCTACCAGATGCTCCCTAAGTATAGTCCACAGTATTCTTGGCTTATAATTTACCCATTTCAAGTATGAGTTCTCTGGCCTGGGGTAAGGTTATCTAAATTCTGTATCTCTTACAAGTTAAGATAATTAAAACAAAGGTCTCAGTTTTTGTTGCTTTATTTTAATGAAAAATGACACAAAGTAGTTTGTTTGTTGTTTGTTTTACCCTGTGGGGACTTTAGTTCTACATAGTCTCTTACTGTTTTCCCCAACACTGAGGCCACAGGTCAGAGACCTATTTTTGCTTTTGCTACTATGTATCTTATACTAATTAGAGAACTATTTATTTGTGCCCAAGTCTCTGTCAAAAGTACAAAATTAACAGAGAGAGACTTGTATATTTCTTCTTTTTACTCATGCTTCTAAACTAATCTCTCTGAGCCCGAGTTTCACCAAATATAAAATGAGGATCATAATAGCTCTACCCTCATAGGTTTATAGATTATAAAGCCAAACACCTGAGAGTTAAGTTGCCAAGGTCACACAGTAAGTGAAGTGCTTAAGCTAAGATTTAAAAGCAAGCAGTTAAGACTCCATACTTCCCCCTCTTAACCAGTACACTGGAGGGTCTGCCTTATAGAACAGCAACAACAAAAACCACCCCATAAGTGACAAAGCATATTCATCTGACAGACAAGTGCCTTGGTAGCAAACTCAAAAACGTGTAGGTGAGAATAAAACAAGGGACCACAGCAATAGAAACAGAAGCCAATTTAACTGGAGTAATCAGAGGGTCCAGGGGTAGATAACCTTTATATTTAAAGAGTACTCGTTTCCAAAAAGCTTATGAGTTATAAGCAGAAACTATGCAGGCCCTCACACTATACTGTAACAAAAGAAATTATTTAACATTCTTATTTTACAGTCCAGAAAAGCTGAGGAACAAAAGGAAAGAATTTGCTTTGGATTTTCTCCTCAGAGTCAGCCAAGCACAGGACAGAACTGAGAAAGCACTCTGAATCACATGCTCCAGCAGCACAACACCGTTTGAAGAGCAAAAATCCCAAACATTCAAATGTCCATCAACAGAAGCCTGGTTACACTTATTGTTCAGTGAAATAAGCCAAACACAAAAGGACAAGCACTGTGTGATTCCATTTATATGAGGTACCTAGAGTAGTCAAATTCATAGTGACAAAGTAGAATGGGGGCCCGGCTGGTGTGGCTCGTTGGTTGAGCACCAACCTATGAACCAGGGGGTCATGGTTCAATTCCCAGTCAGGGCACATGCCCAGGTTGTCTCCTGTTCAACCTCCACTTGATCTCCAGTGGAGGACACGCAGGAGGCAGCTGATCAATGATTCTCTCTCATCATTGATGTTTCTCTTTCTCCCTCTCTGAAGTATATATACACACATATACATACATATTTATTTTTTTATTATTATATTTTAAGAATAATGGTGGATTCCTGGATCTGGGGTGAGGGGTAATGTGGAGTTGTTTAATGGGTATGGAGTTTCAGTTTTATAAGATGAAAAAGTTCTGGAGACGGATGGTGGTAATGGTTGCACAACAATGTGAATTACTTAATGCCATTGAACAGTACACTTAAAAATAGCTAAAAGGGCCTCAGCTGGTGTGTCTCGGTTGGGCATCATCCCATGCACCAAAAGACTGTCGGTTCAATTCCAGGTCAGGGCACATGCCTGCGTTGAGGGCTTGATCCCCAGTTGGGGGGCATATAGGAGGCAGCTGATTGATGGGATAAATACAAGCTCTGAAATAAAAGTATCTGAATTCATATCCTGATTTCACCATGCACATGTCCTTGGGTGAGTTATTCTACTTCTCTAACCTCAATGTTATGACTGTTAAATAAAGAAATATCAACTATCTTCCAGGCTTATTGTGCAAATTGAGATAATATAT